TACTGGCATCTCGTGTGCTGGCAGGCTCTCAACGGTGGAATTCGGAATCCAACTGATAACCCTCTCCCTTTCTTTTTTCTTTTCCCTCCCCCGCGCTGCTGCCTAACCCCCCCATAAAGTCTGCATGAAACAGGGGGCACGGGCAGGCTGTAACAAGCAAGATCAAAAGACCTTGCCAACTAGGAAACAACGTCGGATCATTCCGTGGCCTGACTCTAGGTAGCTTGCATTATGGTCTGTGCATTTCGGCCTTTTGACTTCAGGTCTATCGTCCGTTGATCAGACATGCTGGAAGAAGCTCAGCTCCAAGGCTATCACGGGCGGAGCATCAGGACCCTTAACATTTAAATACAGTACCTACACATGATATGGACGGAGGACCTCCCTGACGACTCGGCAGTCTCTCGGTTGATTCATTGATTCGAAGCCACGTGGGATGGATGGACTTGCCAACGAGCAACCATTGGTGCCTGCTACCCCCTCATGATTTTTAAAAAGGAGCTTCAGCTTTGACCCGTTCGTTGGCGGCAAACACATTTCTGCCTCCCTTGCACCTTATAGGCCAACCACCACCCACAGCCAGGAGTCAGAGGTCATAGCACACCAAGGGCGGCGGCAGCGGCTAATAACATGCGTGTACTTTAGAATGTATTTTAAAATTTCATTGTTTGGTCTATCATGTTATTATTAGTTTCTCGGGCATACTGGTATAATTACAAATCACACCCAGTTCAAAACATGGCTCCCTCGGAAGACAGAAGTAGATAGGTGTGTAAGGAGGGTGGTAGCTTGCTTGCTGCGCTGCGGATGCTCTATTCTCTATTGGTTCAATCCCAGATCAGTTAGTACTGTAGTCAGGTCATTCATTCATTCGTCATTAGGCAGTCTTGGCCGAGACAATGTGGTGTTGTGCTCCGGGCCGTAGCTTCTCTCGGGCGGATTCCATGACAACGTGGAATCGATCCCATTTCTTGTTCTGAAACGAACTGTATCGTTCCTTGCGTGTCTTCTTTCCCTTTTCGGCGCAATCCAAAACCTCATCCAAACTGTACCCAATGGACAAGAGGTAAATCTCGCGGTCGACTCCGGCCATGTGCATCTTCTTCTTGCTGCGGCGGGGATCGCGGGTATATTCGTAAAAGTCAATGTCTACGACGCTCTCGTTCGATGGCTTCCAACTGAGCTGCAGTGGAGCGCCATCGCAGTGCGGGTTGTCCCCCATGATGAGCGGAAACTCGTGAATCTCCAAGTCGCCAAAGCAGACACGACGACGGCGGCGATCTTCGCTATTATTCGACTTCATGGCGCTGACAAGTGGTTGGGTAGTTGTAGTAGTAGAGGCCATGGTTATCAAAGGTTATTTCTATAAGACTGAAGTGTTTCCAAAAGTGCCGGTTGTGTTTTTATGGGAACAAGAGCTGTCCAGTTGTGCCGTGTGTTGGCTCTTGCATTGCTGCTCGGGCCAGTGCAGCCGCAGCGAAGAAGCGAACAGTGTTCAGTGCATGCCGCCACCAGTTCAGCGATGCCTCTGGATAGAGTACAACTGATCACTTAACAGACCCGACCCACATGGCTTTTCGTTTATCAACAGACTGCCTCCATTCGGTTCATGAGCTGTTCATGTTTGCGCTTTTCGCAACCGAGAAGTCTTTCGAACGAAATTTTGACGATCAATCGTGGGATGAAATAACGAAGAGTTGCGCCCTGAGCTGCCCAGTCATGTGCCTCCAGAAGGCATTCAACATACCAGAAAGCTTGCATGGAGAGGGATGCATCAGCGATACCATGCCAACAGTCGTTCACACCAGCAATGCACCCCAAACTGTTCAAGGTCATAGCCGCTCAACCATAAGATTCAAGATCACCTTGATTGAAAAGCAAAATTTGGATTTAGAGATCAAGGGAAAACGCAACAAGTACGTGAGGCAAAGGGTTAAATCCGGGAAAACAAACCATTGAGACTGGGCAGTATGCAGCTTTCGGACCTTCCTTTGGATGTTGTTTCCAATTGTTAAGCTCCAAACTTTTTGTCCATGGCTTTGACATGCTGTCGAAGATCGTTCCGGTTCCGACGACGCGACATTCTTTCGGCAACCGGCAAAAGGCAAAAGGGCTCGAGCGTGAAGAGTCTGAAGACTCCGATTGTCGGGAATCAACTTGCCACATCACACCCACGCCGGAGGTGGTGAGCGTCTATATATACATGTAGCTGGCAGCTACATTGGAGCAGACCACAGCAAGAATTGAGCTTCGATTCCATCTCCACACGCAAAGCAGTCTGCAGGGCTTGGACTCCTCCAATGAGATGATAAAATGTGGACTGGGATTGCTCTGACAAGGCACAGCCAGATACTGCAAATGCCACCAGAGGTAGAAAATACATCATCCAAAATTGCCAGCAATCTACTACATCCGGCTTGGTCATACCCTCCTGCTAGCTAGCTAGTATGCATAGTTACAGTACAGATAGACATCCACTGCGGTACGGAGATCCGTAGCTATCGGTTTGGTTCCGGCTGATGCCGTGAAGGTGGACGAATTCAAATGACAAGCAAATAGCTAAATGGTTATATGAAGGTGGGGCGGAGAGAGGGTTGGGATGGACAGGAGGGATTGCAATAAGCCCAATTAATTGTGCAGGATCCCGGGTGGCTGGGGCTGTGAAAGCTCGTCACACCAGCAGCAAAGAAGCAACATGAGAACCAGTGCAATGAATGTGCCAGAGATCGATGGGCTTTTGGTTGAGAGCAAGGAAGTGTGGAGCAGCTCTCGGAGTCCTGCTGCCGTACTAGTACCCACGATGTACTCCATAGAGAGTACAGTGGTCTAGCTTGATAAAAGATACTCGTACCAGGTACAGCCGTACAGTCGTACTAGTACATGACAATGTGAAAGTGATCACAATATTACAGGTGGTACGTACCAATAGTGGCACGGAATCGAATCGAATCTATCAGTCTTAAAAACAGCAGAAAAGCATGCTAAAATCGTATGACGTACAGACTGGTACCGTAGTCTTTAAGTGACCCTCAAAGCCCCCCCCCCCAATCGCCCTCCGCCATCGGCGGTCATTCTACGGGTCCGTAAGTGCTCCTGCAATCTGCAACACGGCCACCGGCACAGCACACACGGTAACACATCGACACTCCCGACTGACTCTTTTGATGTCGGAGGACTCTACGGCTAGTAACTTGATAACAAAGAACTAGAATGAAAAGAGTGAGAGGATCGCTAATCGATCCTCTGTGGCTACCGGTTGACTGACAGACTGTAAGTCGCGTGACACCCTCCCCTGATTCGGACTGCGGAGCAGTTCGAAGCACCAAGTAGAGCAAATGGAAGGAAGGATAGAAACAAAAGTAGCATAGAGTAGAAAGGGAACATAGAAGAGACAGCCAACCCCAATGGAAGTCTCTGAATATAGAAAGAAATAAAGGTTAGTAGTGACCCATCAGCCGGCGGGCATGGCGTTTCGTGAAGAATCCAGCCTAAGGGCTTGGTGAGGTCATCAGAGGGATTGATAATCCCAGGAATGTACCGCATGATAATATCACCGGCATCTTTCCAATCTTGGATGGCAAAATGCTGAACAGCAATATGCCGGGACCGATCCGTGGGATCTTAGCATTGATCATATTGATGGCAGACTGATTGTCTTCATGCAAAGGAGTGGGTCCAAGCTGGGCAAAACCAAGGTCTGCCAGCACAGCGCGCAAGTATTGGCATGCTTGGCGGCTGCAACAGAAGCCAGGAACTCTGCTTCGGTAGAACTTGTAGCAGTAATAGACTGTGTCTTGGATTTGTAGGAAATAGCACCACCACAGAGAACAAAGGCGAAACCGGTCGTAGAGCGACGATTGCGCAGGTCATTGGCATGAGCTGCATCGACATAGCCAGTAAGTTCAATGGGATTGGAAGGGGAGGAAGGAGGGAAGTGGGATGGTAGAGAGGTGCTGGTGG